ACCAACAGGGCACATATGTTCTCTGTATTAGTGTACATAAACATGCAAAGCTACTTAAAGCTTTCTGAAATGGGGGCTTGCAGGGAACCTGTAGAACGTCTAGTAAGGGCTTGTCTTTGGAGCTGAATATCACGGGACGCAAAACATTGAGTATGGATTTGGGAATGTTCTACTGATTAAGGTCCTATGTTATCGGCTTCTGAGATGGCTTTCCTGAGTGTCCAAGTATCCTGTTAGAAATCTCTTCAAATTTGAGTACCACTCCAATCCCATGTGGTTCAAAGCTTCAGCATGTGGAGCTCAGGATCTTATGCCGGGGTCGGAATAATTTGTGTAATCCAGGAACAACCCACATGGATTTCTACCATAATTTGGGAAGAAACCCGGAACTCCGCGGTTTTTCAGGAACAACAGCACAGAGTCTACCTGGAGGCTCATACCCTAAACCTTTTTTAGGGCGCCTCTTTTTAAGATAACCGATCCTAACCATAAAACTATCGTAAAGAGCGGGTAGGGTATGAGCCTCTAGGTAGTTTCAAGGTTCAGGCACGAAACCCAGACGATGAGTTCAACACCGTCAACACCCCAAACACCAAGCACCGAATCCCAAGCAGCATGCTAGTGTCTGGCAGTTGTCGTTACGTATCATTGTTGAGCCGTAGAGTAGACCTAGAAGGTGCAACCCAACTCGACTTGAGTCTGAACAGCTTTGTAATGGCTCAAATCCATGCTTTTGTGCCCCAGAACCTGCATTTATGTTGATACTAGTTGTTACGTATCATGTTGAGTCGTAGAGTAGACCTAGAAGGTGCAACCCAACTCGACTTGATTCTGCACTGCTTTTTAATGGCTCAAATGCATGTTCTTGTGCCCTAGAACCTGTAGGAAAACCATGACAGCACTCTGGGTGACCGGTCCGATCCCCACACGGATGGCCAGGACATAGCGCAGCAGGGCGGTGGCAGCTGCCTTTCTTTAAGAGTCTTGGTTTGCCGCTAGCCCAAAACAACACGAAAGCTGGCCTTGTTTTATTTGCTTTTTGATCTTCATTGCTCAAACGGAGGAAATACCACAAACCCTTGACCCTTATACCGTATATCAGCCCCACATACGATGTCTAAACCTTGTTCCCTTAAACACCCGAAACCCCTAGAGCCCTAACCACGATATACCATAAACTCTAACCAAACCTCATTCCCTTATAAGCCTCAAACATGGGAGTTTCCGACAATACGGGGTACCTTATTCGGGGGTCCTTATAATAAGGCTTCTACTCAACTTTGGGTACTAGATTAAGGTCTCCCCCCCCCCCGGAAACTCCTAAACCTAGACCCTAAACCCTAAACCCTATACGTGAATGGTGAGCGGTCCTGCGACTCTCCCTCGAAGCGCGGGGCGGCAGCCAGCCTCTCCTCAAGACTCACCTGTCGCAGGTAGAGGGTTTAGGGTTATAGAGTTTAGGGCTTAGGGGTAATTAACACTCTGTACTTATTCCCTACTTACGATGTAGGTTTAGATTTGGGCTGATGGGATCTGGAGTTTTACGGCGCGTGGCTGCAGGTCTCTTAGGGTGTCCGGGCTGTAGGGTGTCGAGCCGAGGCTTTTTAAGTACTATGCATTATAATTCAAAGAACGGTGCCTACACACGATCCTAGACGCTTGATGACCCAAGTCCTCAAACCGATGTTCCTGCAACCTTGTGCAGACAAGAACCGCTACTGTTTGAACTCCATCCACTACCCTCTCAATCCTCAACCCCGAAACCTTTTCCGCCTATATAACTACTATTTGCCTAAGACGCCCCCCAAAAATAAAAATAATAATCCCTATATTACACCCATAAGGAATACATTTTTTAATTTTTTGGGGCTTCTTAAGCAAATAGTGGATAAACCCCAGGACCTAGCAGAAGCATCTTCAGGCTTATTCCCTCCTCGCCGCTGCCGGGCTCTCCCTTGCCGACCTCGCCGAAGCAGAGGCGCTGCAGACGCGGCTCGCCAATGCTGGGGCAGGTTCGAGCTTAAAACCAAAGCTCATAGGCCTTTATTGACATGTCCATAGGCTTTATGTAGGGCCAGATAAGGGTTCAGGGGCTTCCCCTGCTCAATGTGGGCATGGAAGCATACTTCGGCTTGTGCTGAGAGTTGGAGGTTCAAGTGGGTGTTGTCGTGGGTTTAGGACTGTGGCGTTTACAGTGAGTTGTTCGCGGCTTGCAGCGCAGATTTCCTGATTTCTGAAATAGATAAATATAAGCTTCTTATAAGGTTTTTGTGGGATGGGCCTGGGTTCTTGATGATGATGGTGCAGGGACCAGAGATGGGGAGATCTACATCAAGAAGTACCTCTTCCAACCCCCAAAACGTGTGTGCGTATATATATATATATATGTATGTATGTATACTATGGGCTCCATATTAAACACTAACGGAACCTTGAACCTATCCCAAACCGATACCTAGTAAAGCCTTGGAATTGAGCTTCACTGCGAAGCCAGACAGACACAAAGCTCGACTCTGGAACTCTACAGCGCCGCAACCGTGAACCAACTCCATGTCTTCCAGTCTAGTAATCGCTATACGTACCCTAGCTGCTGAGCCGAAGAATCCTGTACAGAAGAAGCCCAAAAGTTGGAAACCCAATAGCCTCAATCCTTAAGAGTAATTCAAAAGGAATCCCAGCAATATTTGACCTTTATCCGGTTTCCAACTTTATGGGGTTTACTGTAAACTGAAGCACTTTAGCACCCATGACCACTCTCCCCAGCTTGACGTCGTCGACGTGCTCCTTGAGCAGCATCTCGGTGTGGTCGGACATGAACAAGCAATCCTACTTCTAGCCGAGACTTCTTTTAACCTACACCCTAAACCCTAGACCTTTAACCCTAAACCCTGAACTTCAGCCCAACATATTGAGGTGCTGCTGCGACATGCAGTTATTGGGTCACTGGCGTGCCGTTCGGCACTGCCCAAACTCCCCTCATGTCTCAGGGCTCTCGCCGGATAAGCAGGCGCCACAGGCTCCGCGCCGTGTAGTGACTGGAGAGTTGCATGGCGACGCGCATTGCACTTGCTTCGAGAATCTCGACACTTCGGTCGAAAAGCCTGCCTTCGCCACTGTCGAGGGATCCTCGTTTTGATTTTCCATGTACCTTTGCAACTACGCCAGATACCTAACGTGAGAAGGCATCCACCATGTGCTCAGAAACACGTTCCAAAATTCAGCATTGCACCTTAAAGTATCCTGGTCTTCTTCATAACACTCACATTATGTTCTATACTTTCCGGAATGAACGGGTTGCATGAAAGCACTATGGTCCTCTTACCTTTCGAAAGATTCAAACTCCGTATATTCTTGACATCAAAGGCTCGCAGGCCCTGCAAGTCCATGTATCCAATGGTATATACTTCGGACCCAATGTACCTAAATAGGGAGTACTTTACAGCCAGCGCATATACTCATTGGGTACATGGACCCTTAAACCCTAACCCCTTTATAGAACTCTTATAACCCTGAAAAGAACCCCTGAACGCACCTCCAAAGCATCCCTAGTTTTGCTACATGGACCCCTAGGATGAAAACCCTCGCTTCCTAAACCCCAAGCCCGATACCCTTAAACCCCTAAACCCTAAACCCCTAAACCCTAAACCCCAAACTCCTAAACCCTAAAAGGAGCCTTAGGGACAATCCATGAGAACCCGGCCCCTGCTGGAGCAGCCACTGGTGCTCCGAGCCATCCAAGCCCAGGTGGCTTGCTCCTGCGATGTCGTGGGTTTAGGGATTTGCGGGGGTTTTAGCCTAAACCCTAACCCCAAGGGTCCAAGTACCAATCATATACTCTCCAAGATTCTAACCTACATAACTACTATCTTAAATCCGAGTACCTGATTATTGGGTCCTTTGGACCCTTCGAGTAATTAACCTTAACCTTAGGGTTTACGTAGGTTTCATTAAGGGGGCGCGGAGTCTCAAGCTTCCGTGCTTAGGGCCTCCCAGTTTAAGGTTTAGGGATGGTGTACTTACAACCCATTTTGGGGGATTCCACTTAACATATAGGAAACTCCAGAAAGTTGGAATATGGTTTCATGGAAGGATACCCTATAATTTACCATAGAAGGGCTAGGATAATCATATTCCAACTTTCTGGCTTTTACCTTGAAACCTTCTAGGCTCCTTATAAGAACCCTAAAAGGGATCCTAGTTGCGGTTGTGGTACTTATAAGTCTCTAAAATAACTAGTTACTAAGTCCTCCGACCCTCCCAAGTAGACCCTAAACCCTAAACCCTGTAGATCCCTTGTAAGGAACCCCAATAGATCCCTTTAAGGAGCCCTTTTGGTACTTATAAGTCTCTAAAATCCTCGGAGCTTTCAGGCGTGGCCGTTTCAAGGGGAGCTGTGACAGGTCCTGTTCGGATTGCCGGCTCTTCCGAAGAGAGACGGATTGGGGATTATTCTGAATTCGGATTCAGGGCTTATGGATGTTTAGGGTTTGGGATTGGGGTTTATTCTGAATTTGGGTTCCCTTCAGGGTACTCGTGCTGGCAGTGGCTCTTTTTTGAAACCGCCCTTGCTCCCGAAGTTGCGGTACTTAGAGGCAGGGCCGGTTATGGTCCATCAGACGCTGTGCTGTAAAGGAAATATTCAGGATCTGAAGTCCCTCATACTGGGCGCTGGGGTTATCTCACATCAGCTGGTGAGAATACACATCAATGCCGACAGACGCTGGTTTAGGGAGAATACACATCAGCGGGGAATTTACACATCAGAACTAGCTAATCCCCATGTAGACGCTGATTTCAAGAAGCACGCAGCAGATAGGCCAAAGTGCCGGATTTGTTGCGGACGCTGAGGTATATACTACATTTGGAAGCATTCCAAGATGAGAATTCAATGCGTTTGCCAAGTAGACGCTGGGATTTGGAGTAGTCCAACCGTCAGCTATCCTAAAGGCTTCTGGACCACGCACAGCTCACAAACGCTCACACATGCACTCTGTTCTTCTTCACCCCTTCTTCGTGTCCTTGACTTTGACAGTCACAATGCGCGCCGCTCGATTGGCGGACTGCGCTCCAAACCAAGCACTGCGGCCAGCTTTGCTCTGGAGCATATTCCCTTTCACGAGTTTCATCTGCACAAGGTGCGACAGCGGCGACTTTTTTGTCGCCTGCAATCGCAACTCCTTGACGTAAAACTTGGCTACAGGGCGGACTTTGGAATGATCCGCGGAAGGGAAATGGCTGACGATGAAGGTTTCCACATCGTCGGGCTCCTCCAGGTCCAACTCGACATCGGACTCCTGCGCAGCCTGCGCAGCGCTTGCGGCAGGTGCTGCTGAAGAGGACTGCCCTGGCTCAGCCACTGCTGCGACAACCTGCTCCGGAGCCACGTCCTGTGGCTGGGGCTTGTCAGAAGTGGCCGCACGCTTTCTCTGCCGCATTTCGGACAACAGGTCGCCCATGAAGCGCTTCCGCTCCTGGACGTGCTTGGGCTCAAAGCCATTGATGATAGCAGGCACATCATGCACTGGATCTGCTTCCTTAGATCTGCCGCTTGCTCGCCCGCCCTTGCATGCAGCGGCCATGGCAGCATCATAGCCTTTGTTCTTGGCGCCGCACTGCCCGCAGTAAGGCATGTGCGTCGGCGTTGCTTTGTTGCACTCCGGACAAACCTGCACAGCGAACATGAAGGTTTAGGGAATAGGGTCAGGACGACAGCTGCGAGTGCGACATACGCACAGCGTTTGAAGCAACTAGGCATGGCCTCGGTCTTGTTCGGCATGCTGTAGATGCCCTTGAGCAGCTGTTTCGCCTCTTTCGTTTCGAGAGCCACTTCCGCCTTTGGGACGTTCGAGCGCAAAAGACTCGGGGCACGATCCACCAGGAGCACATTCGGCTGGAGAGGTTTGCCAGCCAGAATTCCTGTCTTCGCGTAGCCTCGCTCAATCAAAGGGCTCCGATAGGCGTGGGACCAAACATCCCGAGCAGCCAACAACGCTCCCGACCCAGTCATCTCTCGATCTGCAGCCAAGATCTCGTGGAATCTGGCCTCTGCTTTGGCGTTGCAGTCCTGAGGAGCACGGCGCCGGTATAGGGAGCCATGAATGAAATAAAACGCGGTGTCACTCAGACCAAACACCGAATGCAATTCAAAAAGCCTTTTTCCATTACGAGATGCTATTCGACGCAAGGGCGGTTAGGAACCCCGGTTCTTTGACGGACATGAGGCATAACAACGCCAAGTACAATACAGAACATTCCGGCCCTCTCGAACAAGCGTTGCAGGCGTAGCACAACGCATTTGCGTTCCTCGACCATGGCTCGGCTTTTGAGCCCATCGCCACGGGAAAAGCAGGTGCACACAGCAAACTTTCAAGGACTGCCGTCCAGGACTGACGCACACATGCACGCGGACAGTGCGTCATATACAGGAAGATATAGATATTGAGGGATATAGATTACCAAATACTTACATATTTACACATACACGTATATAAAGCATACACGAAACGTAAGACACACATGCATGTGTATACATATGTCCAATACATAATCTGCGATACACAAGCACACACTCGTGCGAAGATGGGCACACGCGTGCCCACTGACTCTTACAGATGCGAGAGCGTGCTGTGGACGCCGAAGAATATGAAGCTGAAGATACAGAGCTTGATAAGATGATATGACGTCTATAATGCGTTCCCCGAAGTAGACGCCTTGCAGATGCGTAAAACACCCAGGTGGTACGAGATAGCCCCGGGACCAAGTAAATGATTCGTGCGGAGAGTTTAGCTTTGGGGCTTGGGATTTCGGTATAGAGCTGAAAGCTTTGGCGATGAAGCTCGCATCATTCTGTATTACACCAGACCTATCCCTGTTGAAGAATTCAGCGTCAAGTTTAACTTATAGCTAGATCAGAGCCGCATGCCCATGCACCCTTGCACCGGACCTTAGCTATAGACCTGAGAACTGGTTATGCTGCTTCTGTTATGTAGGATCGTCGCCTTGAAACTCGCCATAGCTTATAACCCAACAAAGGAACCGTGAAAATCGTTAAACCTATAACACCAAACTTGACAAGTTTAGAGAAGAGCTACCCTTATCTAAGCTACCCTTGCCCTTGCCCATCCTGACAGTTGGGTCAATACCAGATGGAGCGCGGCCTGAGACAGGAAGGAGTTGATGGGTAAGGACAGACCCTACTTGGAGGGTCGGAGGACTTAGTAAGTAGGTAATAGACTTATAAGTACCCTACAAGGGATCCTAATTGGGGTTATGGTACTTATAAGTCTCCAGAATAACTAGTTACTAAGTCCCCCGACTCTCCAAGTAATACCTTTAGAACCCTAACTCCCATCTCTAAACTCGTCTCAGGGCTTACATTAACCCCCCCCCCCCCACCTTTTTCAGGACTTCTGTAAGGAAATGATACTAGGGAACCCTTAAACGGTAGGTTCTTCAGGGCCCCCAGGAAGGTTTGTACAGTGTAGGGTTTAGGGTTCAGAGGTTTGGGGCTTCCCTAGATCGCAGGGTGTGAAATTATGAAATAAAGGGGAAGTCTGCAGCACCCTAGGATCCACTCTAAACCCTGAAACCTAGTTGTAGTTTGATAGTGACTATGCATCGAACTTCGCCAGCTCGCGAGGCCAAGCAGGCTTCCGAACCGGATCATCCGCCCACTTCTGCCGAAAGTTGCTGGTACGGTTGATGATAAAAATCCTGCACTACCCATAATAAGGAACATATCATAGTTCCCATATAATTTAGGGTCCTTAAGGTCATGCAGAATTGATATCATCAACCGTAGAAAACCGGAACCGTGGGATCCTTCGCCACTATGGCCAGCATCTCGCCCCCCTAAACCTATAGATCAGTCCAAGGAACCCTTTTAGGGTTTAGGGTTTAGGGTTTAGGATTTAGGGTTTAGGGTTTAGGGTTTGGGGTTTAGGGCTTAGGGTTTAGGGTTTAGGGTCTAGGGTTTATAGGGTTTAGGGTTTAGGGTACCCTTTCAAGGAACCCTACTTGGAGGGTCGCGGGACTTAGTAAGTAGGCAATAAGTAGATTTGTAAGCACCCTAAAAGGGATCCTAATGGGGGTTATGGTACTGATAAGTCTCTGAAATAACTAGCTACTAAGCCCCCCGACCCTCCAAGTAAAGCCCTCCACCCTAACCCCTCCACTCAGGTGGAGAACGTTTCTGCATGCTCCTTGTGCATCGATGCCTCACGGCCACCACCATCATAAACCCTAAACCCTAATCCCGCCACCCTAAACCCTCGACCCTATAAGCTCTGAACCCTCAATCCTCAAGCCGCAGCTGAATATCGCACCTGGTTCCAGCCGTTGGCTTCCTGGATGGGCTCCGGAACACTGCCACTGGAGCCTTGCACAAAACACATGGAACAAGGGTTCACGATTTGTGTTTGGGGTTTAGGGGTCCGAGAAGCAACACTAAACCCAAACACCCAAAACTGGAAGTGTCCATGGTTGCGCCTGCAGGCTGTAAGCTTGGTATTGGGATGTTTGAGTTTTGGGGTTGCATTTGCATGCTTTCCTACAGGGGCTTCGGATGACATGAAACCCTCAAGCACACCGTCAGAAATCCTCATGTATATGACACTATCGTTCAAGATCTTCAGTTCATCTTGAGGGACCGACAGTCAGCCGCAAAACGTTAACCAGATTAAGGACAATTAGTGCTGAGATTCCCTATACATCATTCTTACGGATTGAGGCTATTGGGCTTCCAACTTTCGGGCTTCTACTGTACATAGTTGGGACTTCCAGGCCATGCAGGCCGTAGGATCCTGAACGTGTGGACCTAAATCTGCAAATTAATGGTGACCTCTGATTGGCAGAAGCTGGGTATATCACCTGGACGTAAGGACACGTCTCAGACTTCAAGACAGGATTGATACGGTGAACTGTAAATAAATCGAGCATTCCGTTTGGTCTCATTTTGCTGTAGCTCGGATATTGAGAGCCTGCCGTGTTCGTATCTTCATCATCAACCTTCAGTCTGTGACTACTGGTTTGAGTCTGTCGTCCACACACCGCCAGTCGCTATGATTTGTAATTAGCGGCATAGTCGGCTTATTTGAACTCTTCTATGTGTGTTGGGATTTGGGGTAATTACTGGTATCATATGGGAGTTTCCGAAAATTGGGGGACCCTGATTCTCTAATTACCCTAGATAGTAGGATCCTTATTATAAGGACTCCAAAAAAGGCACCCCTAATTTTCAGAAACTCCCATGTGACACTTTGAGTTCAGCACGCCTAGGCTGTAGGATGCGGAGAAAGCAGCTCATGGCTCCCTTGCCCTGAGGTTCCACGAAGCCATATAGTATATACTTAGGCCTTAAAGGGGTTCATATATGGCTACTTTAGGGTATAAGTATATACTATATGGCTACATGGAACCCTTGGGTTGAATTGCAGTTCAGCGCTTGTCTTTGTTGCGCTGCGGACTGCAAAGTAGACCTGCCTCTGACCCATGGCTTCATCAGTAGGACTCAGTGGTTATCCGACGATTGTTCTCTTCATCGGTAGGATTTCAACACGAAGCGACTTCGACAACACATCCGCAACGAAGCCTCAAATTGTAAGAACCATGCGCCGCAAGATAATCATAATCTTTTGAGGCATTACACTAGGCTCTCCATTCCAAAGTTTTGGAGTGCAAACACCTACGTTACATAAATCCTTCCAAGCACGACCAGCGAACGTCGTCATACCATCCAGCGCTTGCTCAGCAACCTGCCTCAGCCTTCTCTCTCTCAGCACAGATGCTCAGCAGGGGGAATCCGACGAGAGGTTTTCATCACCGGCAAGTGCAAAGCCAACGTCGGCGCGCAACTTGCACGCAAGCACACAGCCAAGGCTTTAGAGCCACGACAACAACTCTGACTTGGCGGACCACATGCCTCTGGCTTGTTTTCATCAGCACTTATGTTCAGTGGGAATCCGACAAGATTTTTCATCACAGGCAGGCAAGTAGCTGCGGCGGACACTGCCCCCAGCACCCGACACGTTCTCGTCAACAAAGGAAGCAACTCAAATCTGTCAGGCAACATGCCTCTGTCTTGTGTTCGTGTCAGCACAGATGCTCAGTGGGAATCCGACGATACGCTATCATCACAGGCAAGCGCAGAAATGGACATGCAGTCACACAAGCAAGCAACTTCCTGCGACGGGCCTCTGGCTTGTCTCGATCAACACGGATGTTCAGTGGGAATCCGACGAGATGCTTTCATCATAGGCATGCAAATAGCTGCAGCGCATGCTGCCAAGCACCCGACACGTTCTCGTCAACACGGAAATCAACTCAATTTTGTCAAGCAACATGCCTCTGTCTTGTGTTCGTATCAGCACCGATGCTCAGTGGGAATCCGACGATACACTATCATCACAGCCAAGCAGACACGCATTTCCGCAAGCAAGCAACTTCCTGCGACGTGCCTCTGGCTACCCAAACACCCAAAACTGGAAGTGTCCATGGTTGCGCCTGCAGGCTGTAAGCTTGGTATTGGGATTGCATTTGCATGCTTTCCTACAGGGGCTTCGGATGACATGAAACCCTCAAGCACACCGTCAGAAACCCCCATGTATATGACACTATCGTTCAAGATCTTCAGTTCATCTTGAGGGACCGACAGTCAGCCGCAAAACGTTAACCAGATTAAGGACAATTAGTGCTGAGATTCCCTATACATCATTCTTACGGATTGAGGCTATTGGGCTTCCAACTTTCGGGCTTCTACTGTACATAGTTGGGACTTCCAGGCCATGCAGGCCGTAGGATCCTGAACGTGTGGACCTAAATCTGCAAAATAATGGTGACCTCTGATTGGCAGAAGCTGGGTATATCACCTGGACGTAAGGACACGTCTCAGACTTCAAGACAGGATTGATACGGTGAACTGTAAATAAATCGAGCATTCCGTTTGGTCTCATTTTGCTGTAGCTCGGATATTGAGAGCCTGCCGTGTTCGTATCTTCATCATCAACCTTC